CTGGGTTGTGTGGTTGTGTTTGTGATGCTCCCTTCTTGGCAAGGGTGTCTGCTCTGCCGCTTCCTGGGATGTTGCTGTGGCCAGGTATCCCCTATAGACTAAGGTTGACGGCATAGGTCTGTATGAAGTTGTTGATTGTTTGAGCCACGGATAGGCAGGCTGGGCTTTCGAAATTCATGTTTTCCAAAGCTTGGAGTACTGACTTTCCGTCTGTGAAGATAATAGTGTCCTTGATTTTCTTTGGATGTATTATGAAAATGTTGGTCAGGTGGAGGATTGCTGCTTCAATGGCAATGGCTTCAGCCTCATAATTTGTACAAGAAGTACCACATGCATCAAATAGCTCTTCACATGTTTTGTCAGGATATTCAATTCTTACTGCCAAAGTCTGCGTTTATAGTTCCCTTGAAGGCTGACCCATCTGTGTAAATATGAATGTTCTTTAAAAAAAGCCTCCATAAAATCAAGACCCATTTCTGAGTGGTTCTTATTAGAAACTTTGATTAAAAGCACAGGAACAACAATGCAATCTTCAGGTTACAGGGACTCTCAAGCTAAGGAAATCACTAAACTTTGGAGGCCATTTTGTCGCTAATATTACTTCTGAAACCAGGCGACCCCAGTTCCCTTCAGTGCAAATATCCCGACTTCTATTCAAGATGGATATGTATTTTTTTCGTCGAAAGAAAGGGAAAAAAACCAAGCTCTTAGTGAATACCAATTACTCCACATGCCCGGAAACTGACGAGCGTCTGATTATACCGCGTCGTGACACATATTATTATTGTTCTTTAATTTTAGAGAGAAGGCAATGTGGTCGCTTTTAAGGACAAGCCAGCTAACCCAAACTTCGGGGGTTTCCAGAAATCTTGACCTACACCAAAAGTGGGTATTGCTCTACCTATAGGATACGTTTGGCTTCATTAGTGTGTTTATTTGTTTGGGTACAGAGAAAACTCTCATTATCTTTTAAAGAAAGTCAACAAGGGGTAAAAACTTTACTTTCGATTTTCTCAAAACAGTATTTTTCTGGGTATCCACCTTGTGCTTAAAAGCGACCATGTGTACCTACCGTTTTTGTCGGATCTCGGCCGGTAACTGGTCAAAGGTTAGGTGAGTATTGAGGATCCTGGGCGAGGGGAGAGCATCCAGGGTAGCTGAAGGTACACATTCTATCATGTTGTTGTCTTTCTCCACTAGGGGCAGAGTTGTCGTTCCTGCCAGGAGGCAGCGAGAGATCTCCCAGACCCAATGTGTCCCTGAAAATATGGTAAAAGAAAAATTGTTAGATATTGAGAATGATTTCATCTCAATACTCTTTATATTGACCCCCCCCCCCCGGAAATACAGCAATAGCAAAACACGTAAAAACAGCCGCAACAAACAAAGAAAAAACCGAAATCGAAACAACAACAACAAAAAAAAAAACAAAAAAAAAGAAGGAAAAAATCCAAGAAACAGGAAAACAAAAAAACAAAACAAAACAAAACAAAACAAAACAAAACAAAACAAAACAAAACAAAACCAAACCAAACAAATACAACCCGCAAACACTAACACTATCAGCAACAAATTAAAAAACAACAACGAAATAGCAAGAAGCAGATACAATAATATTTATAGAAATGATTTTCATTATTATTAATAATAGCAACCCCGAGGAAAAAAACCCACACACACAAAAACACAAAAAAGCTTCTTATTAGGCTCTTCTCGCCCATTCAATTATCACTAGATCTAGTTTCTGACATCTAATCACAGGTCTAGACGCACGTGGGAGATGGCTGTCCGCCCTGATATAACCAGCTCTACCTCATGATATTCTGGTCTTCATCGTCATATTCTCTTCTCTTCAAGTGTTAATGGACCTGTTAGCTAAGCTGTGTGTTGCTGACGTTGTCCATTGGGTCATAATGTGTTAACGAGACTGTTTGTGTACATCCCCTGTGGTGTTATTGGTTAGCTTTATGCCTTGGACACAAAGGACAGAGTGGAACATTCCGACGTAAAGATGATGTTTGGCAAGAATCTTCGCGTGTGTACTGGTAAAATTAATGTGTGTGTGTGTGTGTGTGTGTGTGTGTGTGTGTGTGTGTGTGTGTGTGTGTGTGTGTGTGTGTGTGTGTGTGTGTGTGTGTGTGTGTGTGTGTGTGTATCTGGTAATGTTCTTGAGTGGTTCAAATCAAAC